ATATATAATTTTTTGAGTGATTTTTTCTCCATGACTACTTGTTTACCAAGACGTCAGTGAGAAAAGTTAACTTGAACGCTGCTATATTTTCCCAGCAGCTCTGAGAGAAGGAGGACAAAGAGAGGGGGAGAAAAGAGGAAGAAAAGGGAATGTTGGAGAAAAGAAAAATGGCTGTGGTTATCAAAAGGACTTGGCTCATCTTTTAAGGTTTCTTTTTAGACCRTTTGAAGGCAGTGAGGGAGTGAGTGTGGGGGGCCCTCTCTTGGCTCAGTCCCCCCCCCCCCTCCAATCATTAAAAATGAACCCCATTGAGTGGGAGGGATGGAGCGACACAGGGACTGCGAGGAACAAAGCCCTGACAGGCCTGAAGCGGGCGCCTTTCTGCGCGACAACAAACACGTCTCCGAGTGAGCTGACAGTAGGCGACGCAAGGGGAAGCTCAGAATGCCCCTCTTTTCTCCGCCGCCGCCCACCGCGTTGAAGCGAGCTTTACCTGTCGCACCCGGCGCACAACTCCTCCACCGCTGGCTGGAGTCAGGAGCCACGGAGAGCTTGACCCGGAGCGTCTTGCTGCTGCTGGGGGAATGGTTGACGGAGGCATCAACAACCTCGTAGATGGTGTGAAGCAGGCTGGTGATGTCCTGCAAGAGAGGTTAGATACTTTGTACTTTAGTACTAATTTATAAAAAATAAAAAAAATAAAACACAGGAGCAAAAAAAAAAAAGAATTTGGTTGGTTTATTTTTCTGACTATTACTCTAGACAATGTGACAAATTATCAGTTTAATTCCTGGAAATCTCTTTTTAAATCAAAATTACATCGGCATAAAGAACAACATTTTTAGATTCTTTCAAAAAAAGCWGTAAAAAACATTTAAATGTAGAAGTGTGTTATTTTTATCAGCGAGGTATAGCATGAGGAGCCTAAATTGTATTCATTAAAGAAATTAAAAGGAGAAATCTCCAAATTAACTAGGAAAAAACCAAAAAAGACGAAGACATTTAATAATATTGAACATGTCTGATCCAAAATGAGCTATGCTACCCTATTTAAAACACTTTATAAGCACATAAAAYAACTCTTGCAGCTGTTCGAAAACTATATTTTATAGTCCTCAAGTGTTTTCACCCAGTTACACAGTATAGAGAAATTAAACTACTAACGTCATGTCAAATCTGTCACTCCTTAAGGGTTTTTACTTTAAAAGTAAAAAAGCTTCAGCAATTCCTTTTGAGTGAATTTCAGAAAATTAAGACTGTAGCACACAAAGACTCCAACAGTTTAGTTTCTGCTCACACTGACACATAAATAAGGACTATTGTGAATTCTTCTGCACGTAATGGTTCAAACATAAACAAAGATTAAAAAGTAAAATAAAAGCTTCCTGTGTCATATCTGTTTTCCTCCTCTTGCTTTCTTTTTTTTTATTTGTGCGAAGGGGATTAATAAAAGAGTCGGAGAAGAAAGCGCTTCATTCCCCCCACCAAGCTGCCGCCTGCCGTCTCATGAGCCACGAAGCCACAGGCAACGCCAAAATCCTGCAMAGCCAACCGCACAGAGGAAAGCTACAGTCTCTGTTTGCGCCGTTTCAAGTTGTTCTCAAGAAACACGGGGCCTTTTCTGGATGTTTTCTCAGATCTGCAGCAGGCAGATGCAAGCCACGAGGTGCCTCGCAGGAGCGGAAACACACAGACTTTGCTGGATTTAGTTTTTAGGTAGCGAGAGTTTGATTCCTCTTTTATTCTTACTTTATTTGGACATGATGACATCTCAATGAGTTACAGAAATACATTTTTCTTTGCAAAGTTAAGGAGGACATTGACTTTTGAAATACAGCTGCATCTTTTAGAAGTTTTTCCTCTTTAGTATTTATTTGCATATGCAAACAAATAACATCTTTACCTCTCGGGTAACTTTGCCACTGTTGTCAAAATCATAGAGGGTGAAGGTCCACTCCTGCCTGTTATCCTCCTCCATAGACACAGCGCATTCCAGCTCCTGAAACGGCACCGAACACGACTCGGTTTCATACAGCGTACATGTGAGTGTGTATTTCTGTGCGTCCCGCCACTGGCCCAGTTTCATCCAGGAGGGGGAGGTGGGGGGAGTAATAAATGTCCCGTTCCGTGTTGACACTCACTTCAAACTGGAGCTGTTTCTGTGGCCCTGCGGGAGATTGGCTGTCCCTCTCCTGCATCTTCTCCTCCACACAGCAGCTGTCTGTCTTCTCCGGGGGTAAAGCCACTGCAATGGCACAGACACACATAGACACACACATGAATGCACACCCACAAAGATAAAAGAGATGGCCTGAGGACAGAAACGCTGGGTGCAGTCTTAACCTGAGGACATGTCGTCGCTTTCTAGTTTTTCTTGTAAGCTCATGCCTCCAAGTTTGGCAGCTCAATTAAGATGTGGCACATCTTAAAGTCACTCTGGTAGCATGAAGTGTATAACAAAACTCTCTCTGTCAAACAGCTTTATTCCAAATATTAAAATTTATTTTACAGTGTCAAATAAAAGCAGTGTTGTTTTAAAGATGCCATGCTTTGATGGGTTTAGGACTAGCTTGTAGGGGTGCACCAAAAAATCGTTTTACATCAGAATCGTGATCCTCATTTACAAAGATTCAGAATCGATTCAAAATGTCCCTAAATCTATTTTTAAACATAAAAAAATTAATAAAAAAGGAAAGAAAATCCAAAGGTTGTCAAACTCCCTTTTGTAAGCACTTGAGACGTCCTGACGTCACATGCAGCCGGTTCTGGAAGGTATGCATACGCAGAAAGCACCAAAACAAAGAAGAAACTACCAAAACCTTTATTAATGCAAAGTTCTGGGCACATTTTGTTTTTTACCAAATGAGTCTGAGTTTGACATGAGCTTCACCGTGTGCAAAATTTGCAAAATGAAGATGAAGCACTTTAGGAACACGACAAATGGGCTCACATTGAGTTTTGAATGAAAAATCGATTTTGAATCGAATCGTGAGAGAGTAAAAGATTCCCACCCCTACTAACTTGAAAAACAGAGGTCATTACTGGGCAGCTAAGATGAATTGATTTAACTTGTAGTCATTCACACTATTTATGATCATGCTCAAAGGCTGCTGAAAATCAAAGCACTGTATGCTTTTAGCAGCTCAAAATGTTTTCCATGATGGCAATCAGAGCAAATAGATCCAAGACAGTTTGAGGTCAACTTGAAACAATTCTGTTTCTTTCAAGGTGCCTCTGCCAACACAAAGTCTCTGTGTTTTCAGAATTAAAAACAATAACAAACTATGGATCTCAATTTAGACCCTCTGAATGCATGATTGTGTTGGGTAATACAAGAAAAAACATATCAGTGAAGCGATATCAGTGCTGGGAATGAATATGTTAAAGCATTTCAAAAAGAGTTGTCATGGTGACAGAGCAAAATTTCAAATGGTAAAAGCATCAGTCCCACACATACACCATTTTTTCATGTTTTAGCTCAGGGGTTTACAGTGAAACAGGATGCCAAACATAAAACTGAATGACATAACACAACTAAAACATGACAGAATATAGAAACCAGCAGTCAAATGGTTTACAGGAAGCCCCTCAGTCCCAGGCCTAACGCTGCAGAGCTCATCATTTGAATGACTCTTCATCATCAACCATCCCAAAAGGAGAACTCACACCTTGCCAGGTAAGCTGATGGCGGTCATACTTGGTCAAATTTACTTTACCACACTGTACACCAGGGCTATTCAATTGGCGGCCCGTGGCCCGCCAATTGGTTCATTCATCTCTTAAGCTCAAACCCCCAGTTTTCTACTTTAATTACTTTAAGTTATTTTAGCTGGACATAGACATGTGTGGTATCTACAGAAATGTCAGAATCTTGGCTAGAAGCTGGTAAAAACATTTAAATGAATATCCAAGACAGTTAAAACTACAAGCAGTTGAAGATAAAATTATAAAAGTGAAAATAAAATTGGTTTAACAAATTTGGCAAGTCAGAGATGTCAAAATATTATTTGTAATAAACAGGAGATATGTGTYCTTTTTGTTTTTGATAATGTTTAATTACCACTACGTTTATAGGGTTCTGTATGTTGTATTCATGATTGAATGCAGCAAAATAAACTATTTCAAAGGTAACAGATCTTTGTAATACTTGGTTTATTTACATAATAACTATAATTGCTGGATGTTCGGCCCCTGAGCTGTTGGCCTGCAGTAACTGTGGCCCCCGGAGCAGTTTAGTTGAATAGCCCTGCTGTACACTGTTTGCTAACTTTGCTAGAAAAGCTCACGGTTGTAATATCTTAACAGTGTGACCTTTATATTGCTTGAATCCCAAATCACTAATAGTCGTGAAATTACTTGCTAAAGGCAATATTTTATGGTAATTTTACAAGTTTAAAAAAGGAGAATGGGTAACTTTAAGGGGAGATAATTTGTCAAGAATTTGCACCATGAAGGAGACTGACCAAGGGCTAATACCACATATCTAAAACTGATATGTTCATTTAAAACACAAGGACAATTAGGTAATTAATTGCCATGCTAGTACTTTTAGTAATCATTAGCTGAAAAGTTCACAACATTATGAATGTTAAATCGCCTGCTTTTGAAGGAATTAGTTTTGCTCCTCCTGTCTGGCACAACGAGTCAAAATGTGTCTCAATTTTTTTTTACAAGAAATTGATTCAACATGTTTGAGGTTACAGTTTAAAGTGGTGTATTTTTGGATTACTCAACACTGTTGCCCACACTGGTAGACAAAAAAAGGCATATGAGGGTCACTGTCTGGTTCAGTGGTCCTGTTTCACGGTTGGACCTCAGCCCAGATCTAATGCTACCGGATATCCTGCCTGGCTTTGAAATCCAGCATTTGTTTGACACTTGAGATGGCAGAAATACACAACATCTAACAAGAGGCACAGATGTGGGTTTCTTTACAAGCCTCCATGAGTTACAGTTAACCAGTTACAGTACTGTATACTTACTCATTCCTTTTTTTAGTCATTTATTGTTAGCCAACCACTCACCCAATAAAAGTACATGCAGGATGCACATATCCATAAAGCCATGCAGACCACACCCCCATCTCCACCCTCTCCTGCTACCCCTACCCCACACCTCTGCCACACTTTGAAGTTTCATTCTCAAACCTTTTGGAAGAGGATCAGACCAGCTGTAAAACAGACTCGCTAATTAATTAAGCCAAGTCAAATCTGCAACATTGTTTGTTTCCTCGCCAACAGAGCAGACACAACAACCCTATTTCTTTCCTCCTGATCCAACGCAGATCAAAGCAGACCTGTCTCATCCTTGGGTAAGAAAAAAAATATGCCAGAAATGAAAGGCATCAACCCAGGGAGCTTTTACAAACTTTTTGGAGAAGGGTCCTGCTGTTTGATCATCTGAGGTGCTCAAAGGGAACATTGTACGCGAGGGCAAATCTGTTCGGTGGCAGGCTCAGTACAGCGGCGAGATACTTATCTCGGAGCTAATGAAATTCCGGGAGGAGTAACAGTAATCTGCTATCACCCACCTCCCCCTCTGACCTCTACTCCATCACAAACAGAGGGCGGCTTTTTATGAGGGAAGCTGCCGCCGGGGGGATTGGCTGTGCATCAGATCCGAGGGGCAAGACGGGTGCAGCCGAGGCTGGCAGCCACCACACCGGGCTYGGTCCAACAACCCCACTACGCCTGCGCATGACTATTTTTCACACAGGAACACAGACAGGTTGGGAGAGCTGCCAAATACTATGAGGAATCACAGCCGGCTTTGCTTGAATACTGTATTACACATAACTGGGCCTGTCTCTCATCATAAATAAAAGCAGCAAACTGCTTTAAGCCAAGATTGGATTATTTTGTTCTTTAAAAAAATGTAACATTTCCTTGCTGATAATAAGCATGGTTTAAGTACTTTTAAATACAGTAACACTCCTTTGTTATTAGTACTTGTTTGGCTGCCTGTGTAATTTGTAACTTGAAACAAAGTGAAAGAGAAGGACTCCTTTTTATTGTCAAAAGGTAAGAATAACATTTTAAAAAGCTAAGCAGGCTTTTCCTCTGGGATGTCAGTAGCACTGATGTAAAGTATCCCTTGGACTCTTTCATCATTGAGCTTGCCTTCTTTTCTTTGCAATTTTTGCAGTAAAGTTCTCTTTTAATCCCCACAAAACTTTCTCCGGACGTGCTTTCTTATACCCTGAAGAAAGAAGTCTTTCATGTGTGTTGGTCGTCCCTTTGTACCGGTTCTTTCAGTTTCTTTCTCCTTTTTTTCTTTTTTGTTCTTCTTGTTTTCTACCTTACTCCACTTTGTAAGATCATTGAACTAAAAGCAGTTCATTCAGGGGTGCTTATGAGTTCTTCACAGCTGCTTTTATGCAGAAGGAAGTACACAATTGTTTGGTTTGTTACTATGACTATAAAATACATTAAAACGTTTTTAATCAAAAGGATAAATGTGTCAACCAAACAAGATGAAATGCTACTAACCAAACATTTATTCGAGAAACAACTGGTGTAATATTTATTGACCGTTCAAACCTTAACTATCAAATCWTTTATTAAAGCAAGTTATCTTGCATTTTGCCTGATAATCACAGTAAATGAATAGGGCAGCTTACTCTAATGAGCTACATTTGTCTTCAGGGGAGGACAACACTGGCCCAGACCCAGGTTCAGCCCAATGACTGCAAATCACTGCAAAACCCCCTTTCAGACACATTATCTTYCCTCTGTCTGGTTTTATTCAGTGATGAGGAACTAAAGACAAATGACTTTATATATATATATTATTTTTGTCATGCTCCCAAATTCTGGGATGTTTCAAATCCAGGTATCTTGCCTGCACCTCACGTCCAGCACTGTCTTGAAATGGGGGCGGGAGACTTTCTCCTCCCAGAGCTTTTAATCCAGGATCACATCACATCAGGGAAAAAATATGGAGGAAAAGAAGCACTTTTCAGAGCACCACTGGGGAGGGGCAGATAAGAGCCATAGAAGGTGGTTGAGAAGAAGGTGGGAGGGGAGGTAAAACAAGGAACTCTTCAGCACATTGCTGGGTTTTAAAGAAGATGCATAGAGCAGAGGTGGAGAAGATGGAGAATGGAATCAAAAAGACATTAAAACAAAGTATCCAAAAGAGTATTTTGTCTTAGTTTTAATATAAACCAGACACTATGTAATAGAATTAAAATAAAAAAGAYATCCACGTGGTACATGGCAATAATGAACAGAGGCCTTACCTTCTAATCGATAATGTTCTTCACTAATTCCCTCTGCACAAGAGTTAGCCATGGAGTCCTGCAAAGACACAAAACATAAGAGGATAAGACATGYATTTCTGCTTCTAAGTCATTAAAAATAGGAAGTCTTCATATTTTCGTCATATAAAACATCACGGTCCACATCCACGGCGACGCTTTCCAACACAGAGTGACACACCAGCACTAAAATTACAGCATTCATGTGTCTATATATGAACAAACTTTGACAGCTGTGTGCTGAGCTTAAACAGTGGTGGAAACTTTAGGAGGAGAGTAATTGCAGGACTAAAACAAACTGAGCACAAGAGTGGCAGTTAGATTTGAGATTATGAAAGAAGCATCTAAATCACGACAGACAGCTGTGCAGTAGATTCTGAGAAAGTGGACCRGTTGTAGTGCTATTTCAGTGACAGACTATCATTGCAGGGACACGTCCATAAACTTGTTATTTTCCTAGTTCTTTAGCAGTCAGAACCCCACCACTCTCACAGGTCTGCCTGTTGATGTGTACCACAGAAACATTAGGAACATGTGATCCCAAGGCTTTAGGTATGAAAAGTGCATCCATTTGGTGTTAAAGTAATTTTGCTGGAAAACCATCAGATTATTTGGACAAATGCATACACAAGAACATCTTTGTCCTCACATACAAAAATCTGTTCAACAACTTCTCAATTTTACACCAACAGTTATTCAACCTTCAAAGTCAGCTTAATTTTATTGATGAAATAGTATCTAAGAAAATAATATATTACTTTTTTTTGCAGAAATTAAATATTCCTCGTTTACACTTATCCATCCTTTTTTTTAATGAAAGTGAAACACCTGCCAGTGCTACTACTATAAAACTGATAAAATGTTAAGTTACTCATAACTTTTTGTCTAATAAAAAAACTTTATAGGAGTAGGGTYATCACTGGGGATGATTAAGCCTACTGAGTAATAGCTAACTGCATAAACTGTGTTCAYGGATTTCTACATACAAAGCATGCGTGTAACGTTGTTGTGTTTGTGCAAGTTGCAGTGCAAGTGTCAGAGTGTGAGAAGAAATGTCTGYACAATCCCAAGAGGTAGCTGCTTAAATAATATTATCCTAACCTTCTAACTCTGCCGGTCACAKTGCAGTGCCGTGTGTAGCCTCAATGAGAAAATCAAACCCACAGGTCTGAGTTTAAACACTGATATGCCAAAGCAGGACCTGGAATGATAGTGTGTTCATTGTGTTTATGGTGCCAACATGCTTTTACTATGGTTTTAGAACCCTGGTCTTGAGATTTTAATGCAGCTCTGTTACATTTTTACTTGTGTGTGATGAGGTCACCGAAGCGTTCTACTATAACTGGTGGATTAAATTAGGATTAAGCAAACAGATCTTTATGGAAAGCAGAAACATGATAGCTTTGTAAGGCCACATTACAGAAACGTCTTTGTCATGAAGTCTTGTAATGGCAATCTCCACTCCTGACATCACACGTCATTTACATACATGATCTGCCACTCTSTCAAATGATCGTACATTTGGCATGAATTCTACTGAGATTCAGTGTTAGTATTGTAAGACAAAAAGACTAGAGTGACTTTCCTCACATCTGACTTCAGGAATCACAGGAAAGCTCAGTTGAAATGTCGGTTGGAGAGTCAAAATCTTTGACAGGCTTGGAAAACAAGCGGAATAGTTAAAATGGTTGGTGTTTTCATCCGTGTCTTATGCTTAGTTTTATGCATCTATTGTGTGTGTGTGTGTGTGTGTGTGTGTGTGTGTGTGTGTGTGTGTGTGTGTGTGTGTGTGTGTGTGTGTGTGTGNGTGTGTGTGTGTGTGTGTGTGTGTGTGTGTGTGTGTGTGTGTGTGTGTGTGTGTGTATTTTTATCACTATGCTACGAGTAAAACTAGCAGTTGGCTACAGTAAAAAACAATAAGGTTTACTGTACTTGATTATGAACAAAAAGTGCAGGGACAAGATTTGGGTGGTCTTTTACCACCAATAATATATTTGCACAGGTGTCAGGCGGACATAGTCACATGACTAGTGTTCTAAAAATAGCCTGATTGGAGATCCCCTTTGGTGTTTGAATCTGAATTAAGCTGACCAAAAAGAATAGTTTAAAACTAATTTATTAACCAAGTTGGAACTTGTCTCGCATTTCCCACTGATTGGTGTAATTGATTTTACTAGAAAACAGTTTTCAGGAGCTTAGTTCTGCATGCTCATTAAAATGCATTTATGATGATTATCTAAAGAGGTTTCAGCTGCATCTGAAAATGTAGGTCATAATATTTGGAAGGCACATTTGTATTCAGTCATATGTTTTTCCTTTTTTTTATTCAAGCTTTCAGTGGTCACAGCTTTTAAGCTTAGTTGCAAAGCATGCTAGTGAGGCTGGTGATGCAGTTCTCAATCAAAATATTGTTCATGTATTTTGCCAAAGATTAATTCAATATTCAATAACTTCCATTTTTTAAATGTCATTAAAAATGTGTTTGTGCATGACTAGCAGATTGCACAACTACAAACTACAAACATGAATTTAGAAGACCACCGCAGTTTGTAAAATGTGACATGATTAACCCCTCATCAACTCTTATAAATCAATTGACCTCTAATAAAAATAGTGTATGTACAAGCACATTACCATTTTGAATCTTTATTTTTTTAGCTTCAAGATTATTACTACATCTTTCCCCCTCCCTCTACACACAAAAGAAAACAACAGACAGACGCGATTCCAAAAAAAAAAACATTTATATTTATAACATGCAGTGCATGTTTCAGTTTTTTTAATGAATATAAATTATAGAGAAGTTAGCCAGGATGAGCGGAAAACAAGCAGAGAGGAATGTACTAATTGGTTGTCTGTGCCGATGAATGAGAAGCGTTCTGTTAGTAAGCTGGGGCTACTCTGCTTTGGTCAGAGGGAAAGAAAAAAACTCACATTTTGTTTTGTTTTTTAAGCACAAACAAGCTTAACTGATATGTTATGCAAGAGGCAAAAACAAAAAATTAGAACTTGATCTACTTTGTGTGTTTTCTTTACTATGTGCTATACCGTACTGTAATTTTGTCTCATGATAATAAACCACTTCACATCAAAATACAGCTCTGCAGTTTCTGGTTTTTTAGGATACCACCACTTTTCTAAAACAAAGCGAGAAAAACAGCTTTGGTTTTTGCTTTCCCACAAACCCTTTCTGGGTTCAATTACTGCCTTTAAGAAGAAATATATTTCCTTTACCTCTCTTTTTTCATTTATAAAATATCTTAAAAAGCAACGCTAAAGTCCTACTTTTTATCTGAGTTCTGTTTTTATAAATTAAATCTAACATAACACCCATTTTATAGAGTATGTTTTTGGTCATAAGTCCAAGTTTACATAGAGATAAATGTCAAAACATTTTGCTTAGATTAAAAAAATGCAACAACTTTGCATAACATACATTTAAAAGTATGATTTTTAAAGAGAGCAATATCTAGAAGAAATGTTCAAGCAGCTGACATTCACTAAAATTCTGAAGACTGTGTAAAACACTAATAACAACGTATAAGATTTTCAGGTCAGGCGATGATCCAGTGATGGTTTTTAAAGACCCTTGTGAGCTCAGGGGTCAGAGAGCATTAGGGAGCAGAAATCTCCAAACACTCCCAACCCTGGTTTTTCTGCCACAGCCTAAACAATCAAAATTAGCAGTGGTAAAGCACCAACAAAGATCAGCTAAATTAAAAACTAATAAGTTGATAAGTTTTGTAATTTATTTCTGCTGTTTCAGATTCAGAACAAATCTTTAAAACAACAGGATCATAGGTGGAGGGCTCAGGGCAAAAACAAGCCTTTTTCCACTCCATTTGAGACTAGCTAAAATAATTTTCCAGACATGAACTTTAATGTTCTGTGGAAACCAGAGCATGAAGCATTTTGTGTTTTTATAGCAGCCAGGTCCTTTAGAGATTCTTCTGGGCTTTATTAAAAGGAACTGCCCCTGTGTGTTTTAAAGTTGTCCAATTCCCTTCACAGAAAGTGATTTATTACTGGACTACTACACAGAATATAAGAGTGCCAGACCCATTACAACATCCCATCCTGAAGGATTGTTTATTTTGGCCATGAGTGATTCACCTTATAAAAACAAATGTGTTAAAGACAGATGTGCATATTCAAGAATTAAAATATTTGCTTAACTAGAATGAAAGATTGAGTTATCCTTTTAAAAATGATGCCAATTTAAGTCTTTTCATACTGTACAAGCTAACAATATCAGTTCTAGAACACCAACACAGACTGGTAATTTATCATCATTCCTTTAACTATAACAAACTCTAACAAAAAGAAAAAAAACTATTATATTGCACTTAACAAATCTGAGAACATTGAAGACTGTGCTTAAACAGCAAAAAAGGCAGGAAACATAACATTTCCAGCAAATCAGTAATAGTTTTCTTAGCATTAGAACACAAGACAAACATAGTGTTACATGGTTTAAAAAAACATCATCCTTTCTGTTTAACTTTAAATAACTTTGTTCTAAATTGTTGGCAAAGGGACTACAATCAAGTTAATCTAACAAGCAAAAATACATGAGTGTATGTACAACATGCACACTCAGTGGAGTATATGAAGAACTGTTTTTCATCCATGGACTCATAATACAAGTAATTACTACCAAAATCCCAGCATAGACAACCTTTTAAAATCTTTAAGTGACTATTTTGTCAGATGATTGTGTTCTTAAATAAAATATAAAGAAACAAAAAACCTACTCTTAACTTAAGATCTATATAGTTATARTGAAAATCCAGATTTTACATCTTTGTTCACCTCAGAACCCAACTTTTGTTGTGGTCAGCTCGTAAAAGGATATCTTCAATAATAAAATAATGTTAAACAAMCCAAGTGTTACCTTGTTTGCTCAGATTGATCGTAATGAAACAGAACCATAAAATAATTTGTTAAGAGGGTTTTGGCAGAAGATGGTCTCCGAAAGAAACTTAATAATTTTCTCAGACCATTCAGGATCAATGCAGTTCAAAGTTCTGAAAAGAGAAC